ATTCCATATGTAGTTCTGTCGTTTGACCCTCAGTATACATCGAAGTCGCTGCTGTACGTTACTGCTGTTTCGTTAGAACAACTGTTTCCATGCCGTATAACAACATTGACATGAAAGAGGCAAGGTACGGGCGGATTTTTGTGAAAAAGGTTACTCCGTTTTTGGGCCCAAATTTGGATATGTTACTGAAGACGCTAGAGGCGAGGACGATCCTTTTGCTTAACTCTGACTGGTAGTGTCGCCACTGGACACGATGGATACGAGATTCTTAAATTGGTAAGCCTCCTGAACCGTTTCACCAGTAGACCAGCTGTGTCATATTTGTTGCTCGAAAGCTCGTGCGTTAAGGAAGAGGCTAGCTTTCGCAACTGTGTTGCATATCGAAGCCATCTGGCGAGGGAGCCCACCACTGTGCTAATCTCGTAGACAGTAGCATTCACATGCTTCAGGTCAGAAAGATAACTTGCCGGATATCTTGAAATGCCCTTTCCCTTTGGAATGGGACTCTCGTCTCTGCAAGACCAGCATTGTTTTAGAGACGAAACTCAAGAACAATAGTGAATAACAATGGCAAAAATACATCTCCCTGGCGAATTTCACAGTTAATAGGAAGATTATTTGCTCAGATGGCCCTTTCTTTAGTTTGGCAGCAGACAGGGTTTCTGCATTTATCTGTTCCAAAACGAGCATAGTGTGCTAATGTATTCCATTGCATTTGAAGATTTTTCACGTTGTCAAGCGATTGCCTAAATCAGCTGTAGCCTTTAAAGTCGAAAAAACGGTAGATCATGACATCTGGACTCGTCGACATTGCTTAATCATCCTAGGAAGAGTTAAAATCTGACCAAGGCAGAATAATCCATCCGAAAGCCAGTTGGCAGTCAAAAAGATTTGCGCGTCGTACGAGATTCGATAAAAGAGGAGGGTTGCGCACTATGTCGAAGTGTCTCATAAATTAGTCACCTGCCCATTATGGTACTGACTCTGTCGAGCGCTATGCCGGTTCGCTCGTCACCCGGGGAGCCAAGGACTTCGTAGGCTGTTGGTACATGAGATATACTGCGAAAATTCAGCAGTCAGCAACTGATTCAGGCCTTTCCCTAGTTTGGGTGTTGCCGCACGGCGACGGCCGTCGAAAATGAGCGATGATGAGAAAGATGCCAGTCAACAGCGCAGTCACTGTTAAACATTCTAAACGGCAGAGGCAAATGGACATTAGCCTTTCAGCAGATAAAGTCGCAGAAGTTGTTGGGATCGATGAAGCCCGTCCTGAGATCTTTAACGCTCTTGGTGAGCAAGACATGTTGAGGCTAACACGTGTCTGCCAAACAACAGTGTGACTGCAGGAGACACCGGTGAACAGAACAACTGGGAATGGTAGTACCCCTGTTCAGGAAGGGAGATCATAGAGGGTGCTCCAGTTATCGGAGTTTTACCGTATTGAACCTCTGGGGAAAAGTGTAGGTAAATGTGTTGAAAAGAAAGTGCTTCATAATAATTGATTGCAAAATCCAAGAAAGCAGTGTCTTTTGCTCAGGCTGTAGCAACTCTGACTAGATCTTTGCCTTACGTCAAATTGTTGCGAAATCGTGAGAGCTCGCTCATCCGGTTTACGTGCGATATTTCGACCTGGAAAAAGCTGTGACCGAATCCCGCGTAACAAGCGATGGTTGTTTCTGTCGAAATATGGGATCGATGGCCACTCGTTACAAGCTATCCAGTCTCAGTATGTTGCTAGCAGGTGCTGCGTCAGAGTAAGCAATATTAAATTGAGATATTTCAACGTTGGCAAGATCTTCGACAAGTGCGCGTTCTGCCCCCTCCAATTAGCTCCCGTTGGTGTTGTACATGGACAGATAGTCAAGCACGGGAAGAGTAACTAGTCATCAGAGTGGAAAATGTCGAGATGAGAACGTTTCCGTTTGCAAAAGACCTTCGTTTGTGATCTTCCACAGCTTATCTTTAGGGCTCTTTGGTAAGGTCCACAGCTGGATGCGACATGTCAGCATACCTGTGAGCGTGTCTAAACCCAAATGCCTATTTATTTCTGGTTTCCGCGGTGCTCTGCAGATAAACGGAGGAGCAGTGGAACGGCTGGATGAGTTCACGGGCCTCGTGATCGCGTTTTGCTGGTGATGTAGAATGGAGGAAATAGATCGATCAACAAATCAGGATGGCCGGCGATATTCTCCTGAACTGTCCCAAAACACCGTGAATAACGTCAGTTTGAGTCTGAAGATGAAGCTGCTCAAGTTGATTTGCATCTTCGGTCTCACATATGATTATGAATCATAAGCCATGACTGAGAAACTGTGATTCCGGGTACCAGCGGCTGTATTGGGTTTTAAGAGACGAATTACCGAGCTCACTGAGATCGGAATTAATATATCAGAGTAATCCTTTGTCGAACTGCTTCTCCTCCAAGTTGAGAATTCACGGCTTTCATGACTTGGACACGTTTTGCAAATGCTTTTGTACAGGAAAACAAAAGAGCAGCTGTGCGCCCGACCCACCGGCCGAGACCTCCGGTAAGGCCAAGAATGGTCCGGGTGACGTTCTACGATGGTTTCAAATTTCAGAATTATCTTCGACCTAACGAAGGTTCAGACGCTGGCGCAGTATCGGGAACTTGTGAGATACTGTGTAATGCTAATGACTCCGCGTAACATATGGATAAACGGTCATAGAAACTAACTAACAGACTGTTGGGATTTGAAGATTACACATCTACAGTGCAAAAGTGAATTATTCACTCCTCCACTGCCCTCCCATGTTTGCCATTTTCTTATTAGTAAACCATTGTGTTTTGCTGTGCTAGATTTTGTTTTGCTTGTCACGTTTGCTTGAACGCTGTTTCTGTTATAGTTAGAAATTCCGAAGTCACCGCTTCCTGGCAGTGAGTTGGTGGATGAACCATTTCGATGGGACCATCGGATATTTGCGCTGGTCCTACGTATTGCCGGACATCCTCCAAAGGTGTTTCCAACCAGTAGCATTGTGCCATCAGACATTAGCCCAGTTGATGCTATGTGTGAAGTAACTGGAGGCAAGAAACTGGCGCTTTTTCATATTCTCTGTCGAAAGAGTCACATCACTCGTTTAGGTCGCTCGTACTGCATTTCGTCCCAACGTATGCTGATTCAGTGTTTGGAGTCGTTGGTGCAGAAGGTGCAGAGCGGCGTTGTTCTTTACCTGGAGAAAATTGGCCCTGATCCACCTGGCGTTGCAGATGGTGCTCTCTCTTAATCGATTAAATTATTTTGAAATCGTCTTTAGCTGCAGCTGAAAAGGTCGCAACTGATGAAGCAGCCGGCTGCGCGCAAGGAACGCACAGGTCTACTGTCGTTGTCGCCAGTGACTCGAGGCCGAGCAGTCCTTCACCTTCGGAACCAGCATGGTACAAGACAAGGAGAATGATCTACGTTCCTCGCGTAGGATCTAGGGGATATGTGATGAGTCACTGGCCAATTCCGGAGCCGTTCAGACCGGAACCTGCTGGTTCAACGCTGGTAGAATGGAGGTAACTCATCGTCATTTCAGTGTTAATCGATTTATTTTAGCCCACACGGACGGCACAGCCGCACATAATGTTTAGGTGCTATCCGTGCGATCCGTTAGTTTTACCAGATTTTCCATTTGACAAGTACGAACTGGAACCGTCACCCTTGACGCAGTTCATCCTTGAGATGAAGCAACCGTCCGTTTGCTGGCAGGTTTTCGTTTGTAAAAGTTGCGTGATATCTGAACTGGGTGCACCTTTCGGTTATATGAAAGCATCTTCCAGTCTTTCATGCGTTAACCTTTTCATCATGCCTTACAATTACCCACATCTTTTTCAGCTGTTAGGTAAGGCCAGGACTCATATGACTACATTTCTCTCGTATTACATCCTTTTCAGAGGAACTTCGCAAAAGTTTAAGCTGTAAACCAACGCAGTCTTGGAGGATGAAATTTGAGCAGTACCTGAAGTTGTTGCCACCGTACTACTTCCAGGTAAGAGTTTACATATGAGAATATTTTGCTGATATGGTTTTTTTCCCAATTCGTTACTCATTCATTTATCGTTTTTGATTTGCATCGCACTCGCGGTTGAAACTCACACTCGCAATTGAAACTTTTCTTCATTCGGTTTTTGGTCACAGCATTTTATACTTCTGGAAGATGTTTTGCTGTTTCTTTGTTAAGGTATACTTATTACAGTTCGTTTTTGATCATCCCGCTAATGAAATCAGGCAGTTTTCCTTGTTAACTCTCTGACTTGATGGAAGTTACGGAACAGTCTTTTTCATCGAGCAAATAAACTATATTTAGTTGATTTTATTTCTCTACATTTTCCTTTTGAAAAATTTTGTTCTTTCAGCGCGCATTTTGCTGCTATATATTATATGACCATTTTTGGGGAAAAAATTATATCCTTTAGGCGAACTTGTTGCGCGCATGTCAGCTGCATTGTGTTGAAAATGTTCGTTGCTAAACGTAGGCTTATCTGAGTCTTGACGAAGTTTATTACTGGCTATTCGTTTGTACCTATGACTGCCAAGCTAGATGGGCTGTGAACTTTCACTCATTCAAAGTGGCATTTGTGGTCATCAGATCTATTGTGTACTTTTCTCACTGCCGCATGATATGGTTAATTTCAGCCACTTAGAAAAGCACTGCTGCGAATGGGCCTGGGGCGGGTGATGCCGGATGCATGCGAAAACTATCTCAGCTATACTGTTTTGTCGTACATCAGCAAGATAAAGCAGCTGGCACAGGAAGAGTTCACGAAAATCTGTCAGTCAGTTACCCAGTCTCGACCTCATCCGGAGGCTAGAAAGCTGATACAGAGGTAGGTACATTTTTTTGATTGACGGAGAATCTAAAGTTTTCAAAGACCTTCCGTTTCGTCGAGCCGAACGAAGACTGATGTGCAAAAATCGTCTAAATCTCTTGACGATTCAGGCAAGACTTCGAAATTTCACCCTGGCGAGTTTGCTAATTTCCGAATTCCTCTGCCCCCATCCTCACCACCTAAGCCGGCTACTAGCAATGGTATTTTGCGTTGGAACGTCAGTCTGCTTGACACTTCTGATAGGGACATTCTGAAAGTGGTTTCACGAGCGAGGAAGATCTTCGTTCTTCTTCAGGGCAGGAACGTGTCCAACGTACTTGGGCTGCGTCCAGTGCATGCTGGCTCTGGTAAGGCTTTGATGATTTTATTTACTTTGCCACACTCCTATTTTATTACGTGATTTGTAGACGAATTGCATGATTTGCCTGTGGCGGAGATGGGTAATTACCAGGAGTACTTGAAGCAGATGCCACCACCTTTGCGAGATATCGAACCACCTCCTGTCAGGCAGCACGCGTTTGGAAACCCGTTCAAAGTGGACAAGGCAAGATTTCATACCGTTTCAATATTTTTGCAGAACAGTTACCTATCTTCATACTTTCGCAATTTGGCGGTCATCAGTTTGCTTTTCACTTGTCGGTTGCTAATTTTTTCAGCTGTTAAACCTGTCCAGTAAATCAAGTGAAAGCATACATTGAGCTACATCATTAAATGACGGACGTTCTTTCTTAGTTCGTTGTGAGGACGCTTGTATAGCTGGCTAAGATCTAAGAATTTGAAGAAATCAATCGGTAGAACTTCTAGAAATACTCCGTTCGTCTTTTACTCACAGTATAAGTTCGTTCGTGCATAATCAAGAACAGGATATGTCTCAGTTGCTGCAGCCCCGGATAATTTACAGCCTTAACCTGTCTTAAAAAATTCCCAGAAACTTGTGATAGACATTTATTGTTGCTACAAATCGAGCGAAGCCTGAGCGTTTTAAATAGCGTAGTACAGTCAATTTCTCAACATCACTGCCTTCTAGTACGCTTTTGGACCTGCATGACAGTCTTTCGAGATACAATTAACTGTTAATTTTTCAAGTAGTCGTCGGCGCGGCAGTTTTGGACCGTGGAAGCAAACCTTAGACCGGTGTGATCTCTTCAATAGTTCTTTGGTGCTGAGCATGACAAATACCATGCAAGTGTAATTTCTCTTTAGTTTACGATATCTTCAACTTTTGAGTGACGTTGGTTTAACTTAGATTCATTATTCTTCTGGTTTTGATATTCTGTAATGATGTTATCATCGCTATATCAAGTTCAAATGTAATAGAATATGTAGAACTGCCCAACAAGCACTGCCATGACAGTTCAATCTCTGAAAATTTAGTGCCAAACACGTCAGACCAATTTGGAGTATGCTTTTGACAGCACACATTTTTCGGACACATTTTTCGGATTCGTGTATTACATGGTTATTTAACGGAAGTGATGCTACTATTGCATGCGGTTTACTTATATTGTTTTACATCGTTCTTTGGTAATTATTTTTTATAGAACAGCTTATATATTTTCAGTAATATCACAGATGCAGAGCAATATTTATGCAATTACTCGAGTAAAGGTAATCTTGACAACTGTCCACGACAATATTTTCACATATGCGGATTCGAGCTGCATTGATACCTTAACACGCCTTAACATTCTTCCTTTATATTCAGCAACAAGTGATATTGTGATTTTTCGTTTTCAGTTGGCTGTTTAGTATTAGCGTGGCATTATTACGATATTTTCATAATTAGTTTCAATAATGTTTTGTTGGAAATCGAAATCGTTTGCGATACAGACGAAGCAGTTTATTGGTTTTGCGTTCGACAGGCCTTCTTTGAAGAATTTATCATTGCATTATGGCTAACTACGTATTAAAAAATCAGAAGGGTGAATTTTTTGTTGTTCAGTGGTCAGCTCATTGCTTTCGAATGAGAAGCTACTGGAGCGGTCTAAATTTTATTTAATTTACTGAAAAAATTGAATTTACTTTGCGATAAAATCTTTGAAAAATTTTCGGCAAAGG